GTTTGTTCATTTGCATTTTGGTTTTTCAACACATGGTTTCTCTCTGTAGCCCTGGTTGTCCTGGAATTTACTCTGTACACCAGCCTGACCTCGAACTCAGAGATCTGCCTGCCTCTGCCTGCCAAGTGCTGGGATTAAAGGTGTGTGCCACCATTGCTGCCCGGCAAATTTTTTTTTGCCTTCTTGTATTTATTATCTGTTTCTTCTAGTAGTCACCTTGGAAAGTGGAATTGTATTTTTGGTATTTCCTACAAGGAGTTCCCACAGTGATATGTGCCTAGCAAATGCACCCCCCCCACACACAAACACATTCAGTATGATAAGCTAGCTCAGCCCTACAGACAGATTTTGTAGCCCTGCTTTTTTGACTCCTGCAGTAGTTGGGAGCTGGAGACTTTGGAAGAGAGAGTGAAAAGGTATAAATGGCATATGTAATGTGTCAGATGTAGCACCATGTAGATGTCACAGGCCATGCAGGGCTCGAGTGTGGAGAAGTGTGATGACTCCACCACCACCACATAGCACTCAGTGCAATCTCTGGATTATCCCGAGTCTACCTGACCGCAGAGCTCACACCTTTGCCATATCCCTCAGTGTCTCTGTTTCCTACCAGATGAATTCAAATAGAGAACAAGCCTGTGAGCCTGGAGATTGTTCAAGAAATCAGAGGACTCGAATATTTGACTTAGTTATTTGGATGGAAAGGGAGATGGTGAAATGCTAAGTTCTTAACTGGAGGGGACATTTCTTGATGACACTGAGGTATATGATTTGTGCCCACTGATCACCTGTGGAACAGCTGTATGTACTTTGTTGTCCAGATAAGCACTGAGACTTGGCTGAAGGAAGACTTCCCATGCCCTGCCCTGCCACAGTTTCTCTTAAGGACTGAGTGCCACTTCAAAGTTCTTGATGTTTTTTTTTTGGGGGGGGGGAATTGGATTTCTTTTCTTCTTTTCTTTTTTTTCTTTTAGTTTTCCAAGACAAAGTTCCCCTATATAATAGTCCTGTGTATCCTAGAACTCTGTAGACCAGGCTGGCCTTGAACTCACAGAGATCCACCTGCCTCTGCCTACCTAGTACTGGGATTAAAGGCATGCACTACTTTTGTCTGGCACTGATAGGAATTCATACAGCCCAGGCTGCAACTTGCTGTGTAGAAAGGATGACTTTGAACTCCTGGTCTTCTTGCTTCTACCTACAAAATAATGCTGGGATTCTAGTCCTGCCCACCATGTCTTGATGTGGGGAAGTCCTTCTGTATATATGTTGCTTTTATTGGCTAACGGATAAAACTGTTTCGGCCAGTGGCTTAGCAGAGTATAGCCAGGTGGGAAATCCATACAGAGAAGTAGAGAGAGAAAGTAGGCGGAGTCAAAGAGACATCATATAGCTGCCGAAGGAGAACATTGCAGCCTGAACACCAGAGCCTTACCAGTAGGCCACAGCCTTGTGGTGATACACAGATTAATAGAAATTGGTTAATTTAAGATATAAGAATTAGGCAGGAATATGTCTAAGCTATTGGCCAAGCAATGTTGTAATTAATATAGTTTCTGTGTGATTATTTGGGTCTGGGCTACCGGGAACCAACGAGCAGTCTCCGTTTACAATGCCTAGTCTATGCCTGAACCTGGGCTTTGTGCACACTCGTCAAGCACTGGACCAGCTGAGCCACCTCTCAGCCCCACCATCAGCCCTACCATTCTAATTCTTAGAAAGGGACGAGTAGGACTGATGAGGTGGGAAAGCAGGGTAAGGCACTTAGTCTACTTACAAACACACACACACACACACACACCTGACAATAAAGGCAAGAAAACAGCTCTGGTTAGAAAAGGCAAGATCAGGGGCTGGGGAGTTGACTCCTGGGTAAAGTGCATGCTGTGTGACCATGAGGGCCTGAGTTGGGCTCCTAGAACTTACAGAAAATGACAGGCATGGCATTAGCAAGAAGATCCAGCAGGTAAAGGTGCTTGCTGAGAGCTGTACGCAGCTTGTGTTTGGTTCCTAGGACCCAGTTAGTGCTGGGTGAGACAGACTCTAGAGCTCTTGACAGTTGATGGCTACTAGAGGAAGGAGTCAGTTTTCATTCAGGGTGTGGTTCCTGGTTGGTTGACCAGGTTCCAGTGGATGATCCCACACTCAGAGGTACATAAGCAGAACTAACTGGACTCAATGGGTTACTTATAAAAAGGACAAGAAGTTAGGAGGGACATGAGAAGAGGGTCTGAAAGCAATGAATATTATCAAAATTCATTTTATGCATGAATGAAATTCTCAAAAGATTAATAAAAACATTAAAAGCTAAAGAAGTTTTAAAGGTTTATATCAAACAAGTTGTCCTCTGATCTTCATAGTAGTACTGAGCTATGCACGCACACACAGTAGGATGTGCACACACACAGCGCCAGATGTGGTGCACACCTGTAATCCTAGTGCTGGGATGTGGAAACAGGTACTGTGGGATTTCAAACAGCAATTTGGTGAGGACATTAGCATTTAGCTCACACAGAGGGGGTTCTTTTCATTTTTTATAGCATGTTATTTAATTATACCTTTCCAGTAACTTTCGCCAAAATATTAGAGTCTACTTTCTAGATTCTGTCATTTAAAAAATATGTGTCCAACATTATACTGTTAATTTCTAATTTTACAACTAAGCTCTCAGGGTTGAGACATTCAGTTTGGCAATGGCCTAATTTAATAAGCACATGGCTCTGTACTATATTTTATGTTTTAACTGTTACAATGTTTAACGTAAAATAACTCAGAAAAATGGAAACTGAATTTCTAGCCCCCATGATTTTTCCCCTTAACACTTTACATTAAGAGATGGGTATAGTTGGCAATTTGTTGGCTCTATTAATGTCTCTCTGGATCCCTACCTCACCCAGTCCTTGGAGCCCACTCCTCACTTCTGTATAAAGAGAGTAGCTTCAGCATGTTCTTAAGAACTATGACCAGTGTTTGCCGTTCGCAAGCACCACATAATAAATGGCGTCCATTAGCCCAGGTCTGAGCTCAGTAAACATGGACAGATGTCTTTTATGTAGTGAGGAATCATGATGCCTGCTTTATTATTATTATTATTTTGCTTTCTGGCTTTTTGGTTTTTCTGAGACAGGGTTTCTCTGTATAGCCCTGGCTGTCCTGAACTCACTCTGTAGACCAGGCTGACCTCAAACTCAGAGATCCACCTGCCTCTGCTTCAGAGTTCTGAGATCAAAGGTGTGTACTATCACTGCCTGGCTAATGTCTGCTTTTTTTTCCTTTAATGACTCAGAGAAGGTCTGGGTATTATAAAATGTGACTTGTGGAACATAGATGTGTTTGGGTATTCTTTTACTTCCTGATTTCCTATAGTTTGAAAATTATATTGCAATAAAACATAAAAAAGAAAAATCCCACTTACAAATTAATTATTAAAACATAAATTCTACCCTGAAATATAATTAATTCTTTATTTTGTTTGACATGGTCTCGTGTATCACAGGTTGACCTTGGATTCATTATGGATCCTCATGCTTCCACCTCCAAGGGCTGAGTCCCTTGAGGATGTGAGCACTGTGTAGCATGCCTGAGGATTCTTGACACAGCACAGCTGCATGGCCCACTGCACATCATCCGGCGAGGGAAAAACCTTGGGTCGAATTTCCATGTATGAGAACAGCAAGGGCCCGATGGTGGAAGGGCAGGCTGAGTTTTGGCATGGGAGGCCCAGCACATGCCCAGGGTCATGTATGTTTGGTATTCCTTGTGCTCTAGTGTTAAGAGCAGGACAATATGACAGAATGAATGATTCTCAGAATGTGCCAGCTGGAGGACGGGTGTCACAAGGGAGTCTCTGAGGTCAAACTATTTTTGTGATACTACTCGAACATAATTTGCACACCAGTGCCAGTCTTAGAAGTGTATAGTGGATGTATAGTGGAGTTCCTCAGAGACTCTGTGAGGAGAGACGCTGACTTACAAGCAGGGGAGCTAAGAGGATCCAGCACTTTCTGTTAAGCAAACCACTAAAAAGACCTGTGAAAATAGAAACCAGCATCACCCTTCTGACTTTTATGTTTTGGAAAATAAAAATATTTTCCTCAAAATCGGTTATATGTTAACCTGTGACGTATTAACTATTATTTCAAATATTTGTGAGAAGCATGCATTTTTTAACACTAAAGAATTTCATCAGTCTTAACTTTTAATAGGTTAACAACAGTAAATACAATGTCAGTAATTCATGGGAATATGTAGGAGGGGCTTGCTTCATATCACACTTGCATTGCCTTGGTAACCAAATGTCCATGGGCTTAAGTTCTAGTCAGGACTTCTGATCATAGGCAAGTGTAGTAGCCTCTGTAATTGAACTGATTTCTTCTGAAGCAGATTTTACCTGACATATGCCCCTATAGGAAAGCATGGTGGTTCAGTGTGAAGGTTTTGAGAACATAGTCCCCTGTGCTTACTGGTGTACTACAGCTAAGCCAACCAGTGTTAGGAAAAGACACAGCCTTTCAGGCCCGTTAGCTGGCAGTCTGGCTTTTGTTTTAATTTTGGTATCATATTCTAGTAATTTCCTTATACATTTTCCAGGTAGCCATATTAGTAACCAATAATAATTAAAATTAAGTAAATGCATCTTCCATTCTTTTCAGTCAAGAAGAGGCATGTCTTCCCAATACGTTGAAGTAGTGCGCTAAGGCCAGGAGCTCTGTCTGAGGGAAGCCACTGCTCATTTTGTGATGATCAGAAAGTTGCTCAGCCTGTGTCCTGGCTCCGTCATGTGGAAAACAGGGCTAAGAAAGTAATGCAGAGGAAGCACACGGTAAAAGTGGCTGGGGAGTGCTTGCTGCCTTGCCAGGGGTAGTTGCATTGACTTTCATTTGCGTAGAGAAAGGATGCTGAGTTAAGTGTCTCTTTCCCAGCCTCCATGAACTTCAGCTAGGTAATCCCAAGTTTATCAGCAGTAATTCTCATTTCATTTTCCCCTCTCTCCTCTGAAGGGCTCTTGAGTGGACAGACGTCCCCAACAAATGCCAAACTGGAGAAGCTGGACTCTCAGCAGGTGTTGCAGCTCTGCCTACGGTACCAAGATCACCTGCACCAGTGTGCAGAAGCAGTTGCTTTTGATCAGAATGCTCTAGTCAAGCGAATCAAAGAGGTAACATCCCTGTGGGGGATACTATCCCAGACTTATGACTGTAGTAAGTCATCTGGTAAAGATGTTCCAGGTGAGAACTGCCGGGGTTTGACTCCGGGTTCACAGCTGTTTATTAAACAAGGTCAGGCTTGTTTAATTCCTCTAAGCACAGGAAATGGCCCTAACAGTGGTAGCAAGGCAGAGTAGGCTGCTCCGTGGTTGGTAGCTGTGTTAGTATTTACAAAGTCTTGCCACTGTACATTTGCTCTAGTTATATCTGTGCTTAGCTTTTTCTTGTGTATAATTTTTATATTTCTCAAAGTAGAAAATTATTTACTTTTAATGTAGGAGACTTGGTGTATTCTTTACTCTTACTTTTCACAGTGTTAGTACATGAAATGTCCAGTGGTTTTTATTGGCTATAAGTAAGTGATTATGTCTTTTTAACCCTAGATGCTTTTGTGACTACAGACACAGTATCATTCATGTGAAATTGCCTACAAGCAAAGAGCTTGGTACAGGCTGGGGCTGCAGATGGTTAGCAAGCATGAGTCACTGGGTTCCATCCCCAGATGTAAACTGAATATGGCTGATCCAAATGTTGAAAAGTGCTACTATAGCAAATGACTACTTCAGAATCTCTAAAAACAGACTTGGTTGTTTATCTTTATTACTAATTGGAAAGCAATGTATAGTGACCGGCAACCCTTCAACTGTTTGTTTCTTCATGTTCATCTTCTCTTATCAGAGTTGATGGCCCATGGCCAACTGAACAAACCCAGTGGTACCATCCTCCTGAGTAATTTCTCCTAGATAAAGCTCTCAAAATTTCCTTCATATGATACTACCTCACAGCAGGAATATTAGTTCTTCCTTGACTGAAAATTTTAGAATGTATATTTGCTTATTACTCAGTTCTCTCAAAAATGTGTGTGGTCAATACATTATTTCAGTGCTCAAACCATGAACCTACTATGGTTATTGGTAACTACATATTTGTACCATGTTTTTAAATTTATTTATTTATTGATAGGGCCTCATGTATCAAGGCTAACTTACAACTTGCTATGTAGCAGGGAATGACCTTGAACTTCTGATCCTGTCCTAACCTCCTGCATATTGGGATTCTGAAGTAGTCATTTGCTATAGTAGTACTTTTCAACATTTGGCACTATTTTTCATAAATGATATGAAAATACGTATTTTTATTTCATGAGTAGAAAACTTGGTTATCAAACTTACATCACAGTGGCAAAATACCTGACACAAATTGATTCTAGTTTCAGTACATGGCCACTTGGCTCCACTATTTCTGGGTCATGGTAAGGCACAGTAGCCTGCAGGAAGCATGTGGTGGAGTAGAGGTGTTCAGCTTGTGGTAGCTGAGAGGCAGGGGCCAAGGATAAAGCATCCTTCAAAGGCATGCCTCCAGTGGCAGCATACATCCTACAGCCAGGCCCCCATCTTCCTGTACATGACATCAAGCTATCAAGGGGTTAATCCACTGATTATGTCAGAGCCCTCACGATCCAGTTACCTTCCAGTGATTGGATCCATATGCTGGAGACAAGTCTCCAAAACAGGAACATTTTGAGGAGGATTTCATGTCCAAATCATAGCAAGTGCTATTATCTGACTCTATTCAATATGACCTTCCTTGCTGCTTGGCATTGATGTATCCCTAAATGTATTTATTGAGACAGGGTCTCATGTAGTACAGGTTGATACATAAGTGAGGATAACTTTAAACTTCTGGTCCTTCTGCTTCTGCTTTCTAAGTGCTGGAATCAGAGGTGTGCACCACCACTCCCAATTTATGCAGTGCTGGAACCTATGGGACTGGAACCTATGGCCTTGGGCAGCCTAGGCAAGTACTCTACCAGTTTAACTATATTCCCAGCCCTGGCCTTTCAAGTATTATTTACTTTTCTATAGTATAATCCATAGAGCTCTTATCCCCAAATGCGGGTATGCATGAGCATCACTTCAGTTTGTTCATTTGAATGATGCATTCTCCCTCCCCTAGGGTGTGGCCCATGAATCATTGTTTTAATAAGCTTGCCAAATGATACCTAATGCTGTCCTTCATTAGCTAGGATGTGGGAACCACTGTTATAAAGGGCTACTTTCCAAAACAAGTCCTAAAAACTCATCCCATGTAGGTTAAGCTTCTTGCATATTCATCACCACACCTTGGAAACTCATATCACAGACACTTAAAGTTCTTAGGAGTCTCACAGTAAATATAACCCATACATTCCAAACTAATTTCACCTCAAAACACTTGTCTTAAATAACATCTGTTTACATCCCATAAAAGTAAAGATTCTTATTAGCACATATTCACTTTATAAAATAACCAGTTTCATTATATTTTCATAAATGTGTACCCTATAATTTGATCATGTTCACCTCTCAGTTACCCTTGCTTGTTTGTCCTTCATGCCTCTGTTGACCCTTTTCAAGTAGCTTCCTTCCATTTTCTTGTCTTAATGCATTTTCAATAGTATTTTTTATTTATTCTCTAATTTTGGAGAGGTATACAATGTATTTTGGATCATACCCATCCCATATCCCCTTCTCTCAATGCCCTCAGCACGCTTCTAACTTCATGTCTTCCTTTTCTTTCTATGGCCCACTGAGTCGCAGTTAGTGCTGCCCATGTGTGCATGGGTGTGGGCATCTGCTGGAGCATGAGCAGCCCCTTCCAGAGCTACACTCCTGAAGAACAGTGATTTGTCCTCTTCCAGGAGGCATCAGCTACCAGTATCTCCTCAGCCAGAGATGGGCTTTATGGGACCCTCTCCCATCCATGCCGGAATGTTGACGGCCTTGTTCTTATTTAGATAATCACAGCTGATGTGAGTTCATGAATGCAAGGGCACTGTTTTACAGCAGTCCTACCCAACCTCTGGCTCTTAGACTCTTTCTGCCTCCTCTTTTGTATTGTTCCATGAGCCTTGTGGGAGTAGGAATGATACCTATGTCCATTTAGAACCAAGAACTCCACAGTCACTTACTGTCTGCTGGGGCTGATCTAGAAGTTTCTTCCTTTCTAGCTGGCTTTCAAAGTACCAGAAGGGCTGTATAGGCTGTTGGGGGATGGGAGTGGGGGTTAGTCATCAAATCTTACCTAGCTGTGAGCTCTGTGAGCTACAGTACCAACCAGCCAGCAATGCTATGCCTATTGGTACAATAGTGGCCTGAATGTGATGGGAGTAGCCAACTATTTTCTGATTGGAAAGTGCTGATGCCCAATCCCTTTCTAATTAATTAGATCAAACTCTTTTAAGGGCATTGGCCAGAGGGAGGGGAAGCTAGGGGCTAATATTTATGAAACTACTCTACATGATTTTCATATGGAGCCAGGGTTAAGAACCAGTGCTCTGGAGCACTCACATAAACACATTAAACTGAGTTTAAAATTCTCTTTGAGGAACTTTGAAATTCAGTTTGAGTAGCCAGGATATATTGAGCATCTCCAGTGCAAAATCCATAATCTGAAATGCTCTAAAATTTGAAAGGTTTCCACAAGTGTAAAATCCTACATCTGAATTAATGTGATGATTACAGTCAATGCACAGGCAGAGAGCTGGGGATGTAGCTTGTCTCAGCAGTTAGTAGGGCAGTGGGAGGGACAGTTTCAGAATCTCGTTGGTGATGTCATATGTCCTCTGTGTTTCAGCAAGTGAGTGTTAGCAAACCCCTGAAACATGCATCTGTCTCTGCTCCCTGCAAACCCAAGGGTTGGGTCAAGGCTCTGAGCTCTATCCCCAGCATTATAAACAAGCAAACAAATACTGCATAGACATGCTAAAATACCATGTATAATCATCTTGAAGCTGTGTATGTAAGATACATATGAAGTATAAGTAAATTTCATTTTTAGGATTAGGTCCCATCCACAGGATATCTCATTATGTTTATGTAGTTATCCCCAAATCAACACTAAAACCTCCTGAAACACTTCTGGCTCCAAGCATTTCAGAGATGGAATAGTCAATCTCTCGTCACTCAGGATTATTACAAAATAAGGAGCAGTTCTTACAGTGCTGAGCAGTACCTCAGCAGCTCGTAGGGCAGTGGGAGGGACAGTTTCAGGATCTCGTTGGTGATGTCATATGTCCTCTGTGTTTCAGCAAGTGAGTGTTAGCAAACCCCTGAAACATGCATCTGTCTCTGCTCCCTGCAAACCCAAGGGTTGGAATTAGTCACTTCCAGATGAATAAGACAGAACACGTAATTTTGAGCAAGCACAGACTCTCTGCTCTTACCCCAGATGCTTCCTAAAGATTTGGGTTGGAAGTGTGAAGAAGTGACATAATGCCGTGTGTGTTGAAAAGTAAAGACTTAGTGATCACCAAGAATATGCAGCAGATAAGCAGACACCTACAAAGCTACAGCCCCTGTGATCTCTTTGTTCATATCAAAAGGAAACCAACCTTAACCATTTTTGATTCACATTAAAGAATATCAAATTTAGATAAGCCTTTAATATGAAAATTGGGTGGTTCTCTTGAATGATAAATTTATGTTTACAAATACATACATCTAAGAAGGGAGAACAAGAATGGAGATGGCTGCCTTCATAGCCTGTTGGGGGATATTTGATCACACTGTGAATTCTGGGTTTGCATTTGTATTAATTAAATAAAATTAACCTTGGGTCAGGAGGATGTGTTAGCAGCTAGTTGACAGAAAGTAATCATAGAGCATCAGAGGGCATCTGGAAGATTTAGAGAAGTAGTAGCTGTGGTTTGGAGTTGCATAGCTTTTTCTGGTCTGGTGAAGCAGAATCACAGGTTTTCCATGGATGCCAGCAAAGAAAGAGGGTTAGCTAGTTGCTACTCAGCCTCTCTGAGCTCACAGATTTTCACCCCAGCCTTTGAATCTTGAGCCTTATTCATAATTAAAATGATAGAGATTTAGTTAAAGCTGCTTTTAGTGGCAGTGACAGGGCCTGTGCCTGCAGGAGCAGAATTCTTGCCAGACTAGAGGAGAAGGCCAGTAACTGTGGAGTT